GGGGGGAAGGGGGGGGGGGTCCAAGATGGAGGTGGACCACCATCGCCTGCGCCGCCACTGCACACGCCGCGATCTGCCCCCCACACCACAAACACCCATAACCCTGTGGGGCCCAAACACCCATTGATTTCTCGTCGAGCACAACCGCGATCGTCCACTCCACGCACGGGCGTGCACGTTCCGAACACCATGTACAGTAGACAGTGAGCGCACAGCGCCGGGGGCGCAGAGGGGTGTATGTTATGAACAACGAGAACGGTCGCTAGAGTCGTGCGGGGCTCCGTACTAGGACGTCCAGGGGAGCGTCCAGCCCGCCTCGGGAGACGGGGCAGCGGCTCTGAAACACTGAAGGCGGAGTCGCCACGGTACGAATGCTAGCTAGCAGCTCCGCAATGGCGGTTTGGCGCAGACCCAGACACTGTTTTCTTCTTCTCAAGGGCACTGGGGGTGCGGTCCCTTGAAGCTTGATCGGCTCCAGCGTAGGGTCCAGCGCGAGTAGACAAGTGAACGTCATCAACACTCAGAGTAGAAGGATCTGAGGCATCTCACACTGACCTCGGGGCCGATGTGACCAAGCGCTGGTAGCGTGGCTTTACCTCACACCCATGGTCTCACAGCGTGCCGGCCCAGTCGCCCGAGCAGTGTCGCGGGGGGGCTCCAAGGCGGAGCCGGAGGAGGGGAGTACCGCCGCGCAGTCGGTGGGGGTGGGCACACACACACGTGAAACGACGACACGGCTCTCGGCTCCGTCCCCCGGCCCCGAGACGGTGAAACGCGCGGACTCTGGGAGAGCCTGCGGGGACTCCATGCCCTCCCTGGACCTCACGCTGCATCAGAACGGCAGCAGCCGCGACGCTAGCACTTGGGCTCGAGCCCGGCTGTCAGCTGCCCCCAGTAGTGCTCGTCCTCGTTGCCCGGTTTCAGGGCCTCGTCCATCAGCTCGAACAAAATGATGGTGACATCGTTATTAATGAGCGAGCGCATGCGGCCGGTGAGGCAGTTTTCGTAAAAGGTGCGTGCATTGGGCAAGGTGGCTACCCAGCTGCCGCCCGATGGCCATCCCGTCTCGCCTACCATCAGGTTGTCGGGCGGAAGACCAGCTCTGTGCAGGGCAAACTTGGAAGCGTGGAGCATTATGTCGAGGAGCGAGCGGGCCTCGTGGAGGCCAAATGTGGGGTCCGCGTGCGCCGGGTCCCACACACTCGTACGCGCCGCGTCGGGCGGGTAGTGCCATGGGGGAGGCATGGTGCCGAGGGCGATTCCGATGGGCATGGCTGGCTCGCTCTTCGCCACAAAGTAAGGAAACCAGTTTATCGAAACGACGTCGACGTCGCGGAGCACGTCGACCCAGGTGGGATCGACGATGGCAGCCTCGGGAGGGTAGGATAGCGTGATCACGCCGCCCGTCATCGGCACTGTCAGCCTGATGTGTGCGGCCTCAGGCCGTTTGGCCAGGGCAGCGCGGAAATTTGCAAGGGCGCTGAGCACAACGGCGGGCGGGACATAGGAGGCGGGTTCGTTCGGCTCATTGCCGATAGCGATGGCGGTGACGCGCTCAAGGTGCTCGCCAGCTTCGCTGATTATGAAGCCAACTACCGAATCGGCGACCGCAACGGCAGAGCTGATCATATTGACGTGCTCGTTGGTGACACCGACGATGAGTGACTCGACCTGGACTGAGCCCAGTACGGCAGGAATGACGTGGTTCTCGAGGTTGTACGTGCGCACGATCTTGTAAGGCAGTTTCTCGAGTAGCGCCGCGGCGTTCTGCATCTGCAGCTGCGCGGCCTCGCTGAACTGCGTGCTGAAAGCGATGCCCCACCCACTCGCATTGCCGCCAATCCCTGGCATCTCACGTGACCACGGCTCCTTTGGACGCTCGGTGCTCCCACTGCAGCAGCCTAGAAAACTGCCTTCCATCGTCGGGCAGCAATCACCGTTGAAATGGCCGCATGCGGAACTGGCGCTGCAAGCAGCAGACGGCACGTCGGCCGCTGAGATGACGCTGGTGAGTGTGCTCGTTTCCTGGTCACCCGCTGTGCGGCTGAGACTGACGACGAGGCCAATGATCAGGCAGGCGGCGGTGCAAGCGGCGCCTCGTCGTCGACGAGAGCGGCCATCGCCGTGCTCTTCCGCGTCCTCCTCCTCGTCTCGGCGAACGTATGCCGACTCTAGTTCGGAGATGTTGGCCGCCATGCGACTATGCACACTCTCAAACACAAAGGCCCCGGGCGATCGGCCTTTCAAGGCCTCCGAGCTCTCGTGGGCGAGCTGGCAGCGAGGCACGCGAGGTGGGCGGGCGAGGGCGCAGTGTGAAGGGTGACGGCGGAGACTGGCAATGATAGGGGTACAGAGGGGAACATTCAAAAGAAAAGCGCCGAGGTCGCACAGGACTTAGAAGCACCTAAAGGAGCAAGGCATACAGCTGTGAAGGTAAGTGCGTTTACAAAATAGGTAAAGAGAAAGAAGGAAGGCTTTGTGCCGCGTCCCGTGCCCCCGAGTTCATTTTATATAAGCAAGGCTTCGGGCAGCAAAGGCCGTGCCGATGGACACTCTGCCAATGCACACCACTCCGCCACGAGCTTCGTCGCGCCTGTCGACGCCGTTTGTCGCGCTTGCCGCCCTTGCCGCCCTAGCGCTCCTAACTTTTCGGGTTGCCCCTGCCGAGATCGAAGAGGCGACTGCCCGCCGTTTCGAGGCAATAAAGGCGTGGAGAGCGGGAGACAAGGAGGGTGCCAAGGTGCCTCAGTTCACTCCCATTGCACCTTCGGTGTTAGCAGCCTTCACCCTCCTCCCGCTTGGTCCACAGAAGATCGCTGTCGATCAGGCGAGCAGCGCGAAGCAGGCAGTCGTTGATGCCAAGGCCGAATACGACGAGTTTCAGGAGTGGAAGAAGACGCACCCGCGGCCCGCGGAGAAGGTTGGGTGGATGCCCTTTGCACAGGCCGGCGCCGAGACGGGCGGCAACTTCATGGCCCAGGGCCTCGACACGAGCTTCCGCTTCTTCACTGACCCGAGTGCGCCGTGGACGCCTTGTGGATGCCTGTTCACCACACTGTGCCAACACCCGCCCACCGCCCTCATAAGCACCACACCCGCGCCCCGTAGACTTCGACTTCCAGCAGGAGGGCATGGCGTACGTCGAGTCCTCCCAGGCCACCGCCAATAAGTTTGGCGCCATCCAGTTCTCGGAGAATGCGACCGTCGGCGACGAGGCCTCGGCCGCTGATCACCAGCGCTCGCCCACGGCCAGCTGCTATCTAAGCGACTCTGGCCTTCCGGTCCCGTAGGCGTACGCCGCGGCGTCCTTCGCCGCGGCAAAGTACGCCGAGCACCAAAAGGCCGAGGCGGAGGCCGCCAGCTATGCAGAAGGAGTCCGCGCTGACGCGGCGACGGCGGGTCCCGTCGATGGGGGCGTCTGAATTCGGACGCCTGTGCCACCCTCCACACACTACACACTACACACAGACAGTGTACTAGCACAGCGCCTTCTGCGCCGTGTGTCCGCGAGAGCGCCGTGTTGACCTTCATCAGCACACGGGCACATTACGGTGGCAGTTGATCAGCCGGTGCGTGCCGACGCGAGGCATGATTGTCGACCTGCGGGAAGTTGACTGCGCCATACGGGACGCCCGTGTTGATGCACTTGATCATCGCGCTCGCAACCTAGGGGAGAGTGGGTTCGGGTACCGTGGGGGGGAGGGGAGGGTGGGTTCGGGTACCGTGTCGGGAATGGAGGGTGGGTTCGTGTACCGTGGGGATAGGGTGGTTCGGGGACCGGGGGGGGGGGTGGAGGGTGCGTTCGGGTACCTCGACGCCGATGGCGGCCTGCACCTCTTCGGTCGAGCCTCCGATGTGCGGCGTCAGGATGACGTTCGGCAAGCCGCACAGCGGCGACTCGAACAGCTCCTCCCCGTTCTTCTTTGGCTCGGACGGGAAGACGTCGATGTGGGGCTTGCAGACGTCCTCCCAGGGGCACCCGAATGGCAACAAGGTCACCCGCCAGGTTGTGGTCATGGCGCCCCATTTTTCATAGAGAGCAGGTCCAACAGGCGAGCAGTAAGGCCTTACGGCGGCGCTTAGCGAAGATGGAACGGACGATCGCGATCCCGCAAGGGTGGGGCAATTCGACGGCACGCCGGGAGGAGTGGAGCAGGTGCGTCGCACGCTACGCGGCTCTTTGCTCCAAGCCTGGGATGTGCGTGGGCGACGGCGACGAAGACCTGCCGGGCAAGTCGACGCCGACGAGCTCGGGCGCACTCGACCACCTCGCCTCCATCGCGACGGAGGAGCTCCTGCGGCGCAGGAGCAAGCGCAAGCGCAGCATCATCGACCGCCCGCTCGGCGAGGCTCCTGTGCCGGTCGTGGAGCGTGTGCTCAACCACTGGCTGACCGGCCTGTTCCGGACCGCGAGCGGCGAGACGGCGAGCGCTCACACTCTCGCCCTCTCGCCTACGCCCCATACCCAGCACCACGCCCGCCCGCGCTCACGCACACCGCCTCCCGACTCTGTCTCAGATGGCGGAGTGCCTGTTCGCGCCCGACGCCTTCGTCTCCATCGAGCTCTCTATCGAGGGAGCGGCCACGCCGGCCTCCTTGCCGAGGTGTGCCCACTCTCGCCCACACGCGGAGGCTCGCCACCCCACATCAAGGTGCGGCCGCTGTTGACGTGTGTCGCGGATGCGCCCTCTGAGCAGGTTCCAAATCCCGAGCATCAAGTACTTTCTCATGTGGGACCGCGCCATCTTCTCCAAGTACAACACGAGCGCGTACCACATCGACTACGTGCTCGAGAACCTCGACGGCTCGGTCGCGGTCCAGATCCGCCACACTCCGACCCTGCTCAACGGCGAGCAGCCCACGGGCGGCCAGGAGGTGATCATGCACCAGCTCTGGGAGGTCACCGGCGGCGGCCGCGTCCGCTCCTTCCAGCGCTTCTGTGCGGCCTCGCCGACGTCCTGCGCGTCGGCCTGCGCGTGTCAGTCGTCGTCGTCCTGCGCGTGGGTCTCGCCCCTCTCCCGCCGCGCGCTCGAGAGGGTGCGCGGCTCCTTCGGCGAGGACGCGCCGCTGGCGAGGGCGTCGTGGTCGGCCGAGGAGGGTGACGGCGGGGCGGGCGGCGGCGGCGTGGGCGGTGGGCCGGGTGGAGGTACGGGGGGAGACCCGTGAGTGAGAGATCTCGTGACCCGAGGAGCGTGGCGAGCGGGCCCCAGCACTCTGAAGCGCGAACCAACGAGGTCGGTCGGCCAGCCCCGAGGAACTCAAATCCCCGACGTACCCCTTCCCCGCCCCCTGCCCCGCCCGCCGTATATCGTACATATACACACGCATATTGCTCGCCATGTCTGGGTGGGTCCGCTCCTCTCGCTCGGCTCGCGCTTGTGTCTCTTTCGCGTTCCGAATGAATGTCACATCTGCCCGCTCCCTGTACTGTCCCGAAATGTGCGCTCTCGAAAGAAAAAACGGTGTTTCCATAGCTGTGTGTGTACATGTATCGCGCGCCCTCGTGACGTCCGGTCGGACCGACGGTCGTGTGCCGTAGCACCACGTGGGCCACGTCCGTCGTCCCTTGGGCGTTTGGGGGCGCGCACTTGTGGACTTGAGGAATGAGTCAGAGGAGCACTTGGAGTGCGGTTGGTAACCGCACTCCCAGGGCCGGGGAGCTAAGAAGCGCACCCAGCGGGCCGGACGATTGGTATCGGTTGCGGGCTAGAGAGCCCTAGCCCCGGGGCCATGCCGCATGCGCGTTTCACCCGAAACTGCAAACTCACCCGTGCCCCTTCGTACTTACTACATACAACACCACACTTGCGCGAGCTCACGACGACGTTTACAGCCACGACAAGGGCCGCTATACAAAACACCCCGCCCGGGGGGACCCCACACCCCAGACGAGACGCTTCAGCCTCTCTTCCGCACTTCAGACACATCGCGATCGGCCACCGAACGCACATGGACCACGGGCCGGTGCGTGTTGCGTCGCGCACGAGAGCGCTTGCCAGTGAACGCAAAGCGACTCTTCTCTACTTCTTCGCCTTGCCCTTCTTCGCCGGCGGGGTGAAGACAACGAGGAGGTTGAGGATGAGAAACACCACGCCAATGCCGATCTGCGGGATCCACATGTTGAACGGCGTCACGGCATTGACGCCCGGCCCGGCAGTCTTGTAGTAGAACGCCGCCTGGATGAACAGGGGCTAAGCTGAGGGTGTTCCACACGAGGTACTGCTTGCAGGCACTTTCATACGGAACGCCAAAGGCGTACGGCCCGAGCACGATCATGATGAACAGCAGACCGACGACCCGCGCAAAGAACGTTTGGAACTCGCTCGTCTCCGTGAAGTAGGCGATCGGAGACTCCGGACCGTAGAAGAAGTTGACCATCGGAAACATCGTGAATGAACCCAAAGCCGCCGTAGACGGCGGCCATGAGCATGCAGAAGGTGGAGGCGCTGACCATCGCAGTCACGCGTGCGCGGAAGAGGTAAAAAGAGAAAAAATGAAACCGCTGCGTCCTTCGACTGCTTCTAGAGCTCTATCGCTGAGGCGTCGAGGGCCCCGCTCTTTCCCTCACATAGCGGCCACTCTTCGGATCGCTGGTCGAGCGACCCGGGGGACGCCCCGCGCGCCTGACCCAGGCGCGAAAAACGAATCTGCGAGGCGAGGCCGCTCACGCGGCCCGATGGGGAGGAACGGGGCGAGCCCCCTCCAACCCACCCGCGCTAGGTCTCGGGGGACGAAGGGGTCACACCCGACGACCTCGGGAACTAGCCGGGGCAGTCGGAGAAGTGGCAACTCCGTGCACTGACGGTCGGCCGCCAGAAAACACGCCTCCGTGGCTCGGGTTACACCAATCCTCGCTACCCAACGCGGCCAAAGGATATCCACCTCGAGAACCTCGAGAACCTATCGCTCCTCACAGGAAAAGAGAATCGTGCCAGGAAAAGAGAAACTCCGCATCTGTGTGTGCGGCGGAGCCGGGCATCCTTTCCAGGCTGCCCGAGCTGGTGCGCGCGCGCGGCAGCGGTTGCTATTTTGTGACGGCCCTGGCGAGCCGCGGTTGCTACTTTGTGACGGCCAGCCACCACTCCGTTCGCGATGATCAACCCGCTCTCGCTCGTCGCCGCCGCCGTCGCAGTCGTGGTCGGCATTCGCTGTGCAATACTTGGTTGCAAACGTCCAGCCAGCAGCTCTTCGGTCGAGATAGCGCCGGGTGTCCGCATGCCTCTTGTATTCAACGGCATGTCCACGGACCACGGCCTGTGGCTCGCGTCCGGCGGTCGCGGCATAGACACTGCGTTTTTTGTATGGCGATGAGCTGCAGCGGCACGTCGCGTCGGGAATCGCCGCGTCAGGCGTGGAGCGCGAAGAGGTCTTTGTCACAATCAAGGTCAACTGCTGCCCGACCGATCGGTGCAGCCGCTTCTGCGCACACCCGCCACGCCCGACATCGGCGCCGCCGATGTCTGTGTACAACGGGTCGGAGATGCTCGAGCATAGCCTGGCGATGACAGGGCAGAGGTACGTCGACCTCGCGCTGCTCCACTTCCCCTGCTCCAGCTGGGACGACACGCTCGCCATGTACCGAGAACTGGAGGCGGCCCGAGACCGCGGCTCGCAGGCCTAGATGCGGCAACACAGCTCTCCCGGGCCAGCTAGGGAGGAGGCCAGCTCCACCGTGCAAGCACTGCCCCGCATCCCTGCCAGGCTTGGCGCGTGCAATCGGCGTCTCGAACTTCAACGCGAGCGCGCTCAAGCGTCTTCTCCGGCACGCCCGCACCAAGCCGGCGGTGGTGCAGAACGCGCTCTCCGTCGCCGGCCACCCGGCGCCGCACAGGGGCGAGGGGACGGCGTGCTCCGAGGGCGCGCCGGTCTACGGCAGCAACGACGTGACCCTCCGCTTCGTGCGGCGGCACAGGATCACCTTTGCCGCCTACTCGCCGCTCGGGTCTCAGCAGAGTCGACGTGCTCGGCCACCCTGTCGTCCGAGAGGTTGCCGCGGCGCACGGGAAGACGCCGGCGCAGGCAGACCCGTCGGGGTGCCTTGTCCCACCTCGACACACGTCCACGACGTGTCCATGTGCCACCTGCAGGTGGCCCTCAAATGGCTTGTCCAGCAGGGCATCGCGGCGGTGACGAATACGGCGAGGCCCAAGCATGCGGCTGAGGCGCTCGACTTGGGCAGCTTCACGCTCTCGGCGCGCGAGAGATGCGCGCGCTGAGCAAGGCGAGGTGAGTGTGGAGCCCTTTGGCATTTTATATCGTACTAGTACATGCGGCATGTGCACGCACATACAAAATAGATCATCTCAGGCGAGAGCCGATCGAGAGAGAGACAAGGCCATGAAAAGAGGCCCCGGGGCGGGGGCGGGATCGCGCGTGCCGCCTCAGGTGCAGCACACCATGACTCAACGAGAGCTGTCAACTCGCGGGCAGCTTATCTAGAGCCGCTGTACAGCGCCAAGCTGTCGCGCTTCATGTTCTCTAGGCCGTCTCGTCGATGCCGCAGGCCAAGAGCAAAGCGTCCAGTGCCAGCCTGCCCTCGTCGGAAGCGCTGAAGCCGTGCTTCACCTGCAGCTGCGACATCCGCGACAAAACTTCTTCGCCCGCTCGGCCCGGAAGTGCTTCGGCTATGCGGCTCCAGCCCGCGCCGTTGCGAAACATCAGAAGGAGGACCAGATCTTCGTCGGGGCGCCAAGCCCGCCAAGCGACGTGGCGCTGCGCCGCCTCTACCTCCCGCTCCGCCATCACCACCTCAGGCTCCGCCGCCCTCACAGGCTCCACCTCGACCATCACGGAACGATGCGAACCTCCGAGAGTCACGTTGGAGACTTCCGAGAGGATGGCCATGCCGAATAGTGAGCGACGGCGTGTGCGTGTAATCCCTTGGGGATGGGATCGATGAAATGCGATCGAACGAATTCGAAAGGCGTGTCAACCTTGTTCATGGCCGGTCCACAACAACAAACCGGGACAAACTCTAACACTCACACGTCATTTGGGGCCTGGAGCCCTGTTCACGCGCGCGCGAGACGTGCAGACAGGGTTGCCAGGTGAGAGCGAATGGCGCGGTTCACGCCTCGCACAACAGAGAGAGAGATGCGCTCTGCATGGTGGGACATAAAAGAAAGCGAGTACTTGGGCGAGTAGGCCGTGCGGTCGACGCTGCCGCGCGGCTTTGCGCGCGAGGCGGCGCAGCTTGAGAACGGCGGTGGGCGAGAAGCCGCCGCCGAACGTCTCGTGGAGCAGCAGGTTGAAGTTGTTGCGCTTGACAAAGATCGCGTCGTGGTAGAAACCGCGATGCGCCTTGACGTAGCCGTGGCCGTTCTTGTGGTCGAAGGGTTGGCCGGGCTGCCCGCGCGCCTTGCAGCCCATGTTTAGGCGGCGGGCCTTCTCCTCGGTGTTGCCGAAGGCGTAGGAGTGGCCAACGGAGGCGGGCGTGCCGCCGCTCGAGGCGTTGCCAACGCCCGCCGAGGAGGTCTTGAGGAGGGGCTCTCAAACCGGGTCCACAAACCGCGATCATTTTTTCTCTTTCCACTCTTACTTTGCCACTACTCTTACAAAGGAGGGATCCGATGCGTGGCATTCATTGACAGATCAATAGGCGCGCGATACAGGTTGGATGGCCTCCTTCCTTGGCACCTCCCCTTTACCAGTCAGTGGGTGCAGCGAAAACTCGCGAGAGTTTCTGGGCTCTCACACCACCGCGCCTAGGGTTCTTGAGGACTATATGAAACAGAACGCTGTTTTTCTTCATTGAGTCGCGCCCCGGGCAGTAAAATCGCCCGCACGCGTTCAATGACATGCCGCTCCCACCTGGCGCTCGCACGGCGTGCTTCCCGGGCCGCAGCCACAGTCCAGCAGGTGGACAAGGCGGCTTGGCTGCTCGACGGCTTCAGCCCTGCGGCCGAGGCCGGGCTATGCTGCTCAGCCCGAGGTGGGCAGCGGCCGAGGTGGTGTGCCACTGCAATCCACTGATTTTTATAGGGCTTGGAGAGAGAGAGAGAGAGATTGGTTCGTTAGGGCTTGGTGGACGCCGGCGAGACGGTGCTTCAGCAGATCTCGATTTTACAACCCAAGCCTCTCGCACACGCACGATTCACACGACAGACAAGGCGCAGGCGACGGCTTCCAGAAGAAACGTGTATCGGGATCCGATCGACGGTTGTAACGACCTCCAACCGCGCAAAAAGGGCCGGGCGATCACACAAGACACTCATGCGCCTGGTGTACCGCCGACGCTCAAGCGCCCGGCCCCTACTAGAGTAGTCTTGGGGGACCCACAAACGACCAATACATCCACTCGGGGCTGCAGCATGTGTCCGGGGGCGGCATCCCCGTGAAGCAGCCAGCAGGTGCCGGACACGGCGTTGGCCGTCTTGGACCGAGATCAGGGCGCAACTGCCTACCTCGTGGGGCTGAAGGACCGTCATGGGGTCGGCTTTGATGCTGCCAATCAGTCGGGTCGATAGGTGGCGCCCCAGCGAGATGCGTCGCGGGTGCTCGGCGTCGCCTGCTTGAGTGGCCTGAACGCACTCGCGGGAGCCAGAGAGCAAAGGTGTGCGCGAATTGAGGCTTCTGAGCGAGTCCAGGCAAGCCACAGGACCGGCCATGTGCGTGGGTAGTCGAGCGGTGGCCGGAGGAAGCCTCCAGTAGTGGCTCTCACTTCGGCACCTCAGTCTCGACCACGACCATCCTGGGAGCGGACCACAGCTTATAAGCTGTCAACACAACTCCGGTGCTCCCATTCCCACTTTCTGCCCCCTGGCCGCTCCGCTCCAGTCTCACTTCCACCATCACGCTCCCCAGAAGGGATCGGCGCTGCTGTCACATGCCGAGTCTCGGCAAGTGGTTCGGCCGCAAGGACTCGCAGGACCCAGGCGGACCTGCGTCCTCCACCTTCTCGATTTTTGACCTCCGACGCCTCGCAAGCAGCTCGAGTGGCTCGGTCACGTCCGCTGCTACGTCCACGAACAGCTCACCAACGGCCACATGCGACTTTCCTGGCGGGCTCTCCACCTACATCGAGGGCCTGCGCGGCAGCCCGCGAGGCGACAAGTCGCCAAGCACGCCAGCCGTCGTCGTCGTGGGGGAGCAGTCGTCGTCGCTCTAGCAGGCGTGCCATGTGCCGAGTGCGCCCGTGTGGGGCCTAGCAGGAGGCTGCTGACAGGGAGCGTTCGTGCGGCGGCGTTGGCGCGTATCGGTTCCGGAGCGCATGCTCCATACTCGCGAAGCATGAGATGTTAGTACGTGTCTTACTCAGACGGGAGAGCTAGCGCATGGCGCAGGGGGGCGAGGGAGAGAGGTTGCGGCATGCGTGCGCATACACATGTGCATGTGACATGTTCATAGCGGCGGCTCACATGGTGTGCATGTACGGTATTTCTATTTGACCATGAGAATGCGTGTGCCCTTATACGACGTCTGCATGCGAGATATGTGACACGCAGCAAGAGGCCGTCGCACAGCACATGCCGGTTGCGGACGTTCGGTGGCATATTACGGGTACGGTGGCGCCAAACTGTAGTGTACACGTACTCGCAACTGTGCGCGTGCCTACGGCTTTACTCGCCACTATACGTTTCTCGGCAGACAACCGAGCTCAGGTCGCACAACAATGTGCGTGCGCAACCGATCGAGATATCGGTAAGGCGCTACTGTACAGCCAGCTCTTAGCGCCGGTACGTGGCATACTGCACTTCACCCGGCCCTGTTCTCAGGCCGCGTCGGCCGCTGCCCACGTCGGCGCCCCCGGCGCGAGGAAGGGCGCACCCTTGCGCACGCGGCCCTGCGACCTCGTGTCGCGCTCGAGCAGCCCGTAGTCGAGGTGCGGGTGGTCGGCCTTGTTGGCGGCGAAGGCGCTGGCCGGCCAGCGCACCTCCATGTCGCTCACCTCGAACCCGCCGTACGCGGCGTGGATGCCTACCGAGATGCGCCGAGATGCGCCGAGATGCGCCGAGATGCGCCGAGATGCGCCGAGATGCGCCGAGATGCGCCGAGATGCGCCGAGATGCGCCGAGATGCGCCGAGATGAGCCGAGATGCGCCGAGATGAGCCGAGATGAGCCGAGATGGCCCGAGATGATCCGAGATGATCCGAGATGATCCGAGTCGCGCCGAGATGACCCGAGATGCGCCGAGATGAGCCGAGATGGCCCGAGATGATCCGACTCGCGCCCAGTTGATCCGCGAGAGTATAGGCCGAGAGTAGGCCGAGAGCAGGCCGAGAGTAGGCCGAGAGCAGGCCGAGGTCGGCCGAGGCGAGCTGTGAATAGGCGAGCTGTGAAGAGGCGAGCTGTGAATAGGCGAGCTGTGAATAGGCGAGCTGTGAATAGGCGAGCTGTGAATAGGCGAGCTGTGAATAGGCGAGCGTGGGATCCCTCGGCGAGCTCGAACGGGAAGAAGTAGTGCCCGCACAGCTCGGGGTCGTTTGGGAGCCGCTCCGCCTAGTCACAGCTCCTCTATTCACAGCTCCGCCTTCACAGCTCGGGGTCGTTTGGGAGCCGCTCCGCCTATTCACAGCTCCTCTATTCACAGCTCCCCGTTCACAGCTCGGGGTCGTTTGGGAGCCGCTCCGCCTCGACGGGCGCCACGACGAGGGCGAGGTCGCCGATCGGCACCTGGGTTCGGGAGGGGAGGGTGGGTTTGGGTACCGTGGGGTAGGGGAGGGTGCGTCGTCGATCGGCACTTGATCCCCACCCAGCTCGGGTGATCTCGGCTAATCTCGGCTAATCTCGGTTAATCTCGGCTAATCTCGGCTAATCTCGGCTAATCTCGGCTACTCACGGGTGGGCGGCACCCAATCCACCCCCACCTCTCGGGGAATCTCGGCTCATCTCACCGGGGGCGAGCCGAAGACTATCGGGTGATCTCGGGTACTCTCGGGTGATCTCCGGTGATCTCGGGTGATCTCGGGTGATCTCTCGGGTACTATCGGGTGATATCGGGTGATCTCGGGTACTCTCGGGTGATCTAGGGTGATCTCGGGTGATCTCGGGTGATCTCGGGTGATCTCGGGTCATCGCCACCGGAGGCGAGCAGAAACCGGCAGAGTCATGCGAGTGACGACGACCTCCACCCGCTTCGCCGCCGCGCTCGCCGCCGTAGGTGCCCTCGCCTCCGTAGCTGCCCTCGCCGCCGTCGCCGCTCCCGCCTCCGTCGCCTCCGTCGCCTCCGTCCCCGCTCTCGCCGCCTCCCCCGGTCTGCTCCTCGACACGCCGCCGATTCACAACCGCCTTCCCCTCGTCGCCGCCGTCGCTGCCGCCGAGGCGGTCGCGGAGGAAGCATGCCGTCGCCAGGCCGCCGCCGAACGGGGCAATCGACCGGAGGAAGAGCGGCTCGCCCTTGCGGCACAGCCCGCGCAGGAAGGGTGACGCGTCGAGGCAGGTGAGGTGCAGCGGCTGGTTCGCCGCCCGCGCAAGGGCGGCCGTCTTGTTTGATCTGCAGGCCCGCACCGAGCCGCACGGGTACCAGCTCTGCGGAGCGTGCGCATTGGGGCAGACTGCAGCCTCGTCGGCAGGGCTGACTTGCTGCATGAAGAACGCCACGGAGTGCGACCCGCGCGCCTGCTTCCATCCTGGCCCCGGCGGCAGCCCGTCCCACCAGGAATTCTTGACAATGTAGCCGCCCACGAAGCCTTGCTGCGATCGGAAGACGTCGCTGTAGCCGACGAGGGCCATCGCGTGCGCGCCTACGCTCGCGCTTCCCCCTATCTAGGCCACCGCGTGCGCGCCGAGGACCGTCCTCCTTTCTCTCGGCCGTCGCGTGCGCGTCTAGCGCCCGCGGTTTCTTTCTCTAGGCCATCGCCGCGCGCGATGCGCGTCTAGCACGCGTTTCGTTTCCGTTTCTAGGCCATGGCGCGCCCTCCAGCACGGGCTCGAGATGCGAGCCGGACGGCAGCCGGAAGAACTCGCCTCCCATCGTGCTCGAATCGCGCTCCGACACGACGCAGCACGCGGCACCGCCGAAGGCTGGCTCGGCGGGGCACACGCGGCACTCCTCCTTGTCCTACGCGCTGAATGCGCCAACCTCGGGGCGGGAATGCGATGTTGTGCAGTGTATTCGGAGCACCGCGTGAATACGAGGGGGCGGACTACAGTGAACGCGGCGGAATACGGCCGAACGCAGAGGGATACGCGTCGCCTCGAACGCTCCTCTCGAGCGCTGGTTGGGAGACCGCTCGCGGACGAGGCACAGCGCGCCATTGGTGCGGCGTCGCGCGGCCGCGAGGGACCGCGGGGGGGGGGGTAAGCGGGATGGGGGGCTCTAAGGGGAAGGGAGTGGGGGGCGCCCAGTAGGGCGCCGGCACCCCAGCGTAGAGGGCCTCGTGTAGCCCTCCCTTTGGTATCAATAAAGACAAGACTCCGTTGTCCGCTTCTAGGCGCCGTGTCCTTCGGGTTGCACTTGAGCACGTGTGCCGACGCGGCGGTGCAGGGCAGCAGGTAGCGCACCTACTCCCCAGGCGCATCTCTCGACTCTTGAGAGGAATGGACGGCGGTGCCGGGCAGCGGGCTGGGCACGGTCAGCAGCGGCGTGGAGAGGGTCATCAGCCGCTGCGTCTCGCGCAGCCGCTGCGTGACGGCTCGCCTATTGACGAAGGACAGCTGTTGCGGCACAGGCACAGAGTCGGGTCCGACGCACCGCTGCGTGACGGCTCGCCGCTCGTACAGCCAGTCGATTGACGCGAGCGAGAAGGTGAGCGGGTTGGTCGCACGCGCCTCAGCCAGGCCAGGGCACTCGCCGTCGCTGCCAGGCTTGGCGGTGTACGGGCAGACAGACCAGGGAAGTGCGGCGGTCTTGGAGAGCCGCGAGAGGTAGAAGAGGAGCGTCGGCTCCCCGCCTTCAGTCATGCTTTGGTGGTTGGTATCTTCAGTAATGGTGTTGGGGAGAGAGTCGGCTCTCCGCCTTCGAGGTCGCGCGGTAGCAGCTGCCTGCCGTGCCAGACCTCGTCGCCGACGACGCAAGAGGTTCCATCGTTGAGCGCGCGGCAGGCGTCAAGGACGGCCACGCCGAAAGCCTGCTCCGACAGCCTCACGTACTGATCGGCGCCGAGCCAGCCGCGCGCGACGCCTTGCGATCGATACGACCACTCGAGGACTGCGACCGCCGCAAAGATCCAGCAGGTGCCACGGTACTCCTGGAGCTCGACCGGCGTGGAAAAGTCGACAGCAAACTTGTGTGCCGTCGGCGCTGTTTCCACCGTCACTGCCTGCGTCTGGATTTGGGGATCGCAGTAGAGCACCAGCGCCGCAAGCGCAGCGGCAAAGGCGAGGAAGCCACCGACCGCAAAGCCACCGATTGCAGCGTGGCGCGGGTTGAACGGTGCCGAGGCCGGCTCGAAATGCGAGTAGGGCGTGTTTTGAGAGGGCATTGGCGTGAGTTCAGTCGTGTGGTTGATCGGAGGATGAGCGTCAGCCTCCGGAGGGTCCTCGGTTTTCTTTTGTGGTGAACCGCGAGGAGTTTTTTGCAAAATTCTTTTGTGAGATCTTGTGAGGATGAACTCCGCCGTTCATGGAGGCAACCGCGCTCCACCGCTCGCGCGCAACAGCGCCGGCGTCGCCGCCACGTCCGCCGGCACGCTGCTCGTCTTCGTTCGGCGGCTCGAGCGGGCCGGTCGACGAGGCGGGCGGCGCTCCACCCTTCCCTCGTAGATGGGAGATGATTCGAAGAAGCGAGCAGCAGTAGCAGTAGTAGCATTAGCAGCAGCAGCAGCAGCAGCAGCAGCAGCAGCCAGCCAGCAGCACCAGCAGCACGTAGGCGTTGGCGGCTATGGCATCGGAGTGCACGGACACGGGGAGGGCGTCAGTCAGCAGCGGTGCCGGTGGGCGTGCGGTCGGAGCGCATATGCGGCGTGTGGGGAAGTGGGGCTATGTCAGTTCTGTCTGGCCTGGCGAGCGGTGAGTGTTACGGAGAGGGGTGGAGCGCGGTTTGGAGCGCCGGGGCGCGCGTGGGGGCACGCGGCGGGAGTCAAAGCCACCATTTGCCGGTTGTTGTTGCCGCTTCCCGAGCGGGAATTCTTTTGATGTCGGGGGTGGGGTGGGGTTGGCGCCGGAGAGGGAGTGGTGTGACTGCTCCTGTGGCGGGGGCGACGGCAGGAAGCCGTCGCCCGCACCTTGCCTGTCGCGTGAATCGTGCTGTGCGGTTGTAAAATCCTGTAAAATTCTTTTTCGTGGGACGCGGCACGGACAGGGGCAACGGACCGCGTGGCTACACGGGGAGGCACGCGTAGTAACGCGGGGGAATCTAAGCGACGACGGCGTCCTCCGAGTCAGCTTGAGGCAGACGCTGGGATGGCATGCCCTTTGTGTGGTGGCACTGGCGGCGCCGCTGGGATGGCATGCCCTATGTGCGGCGCAAGGGCAAGCTTCAATGGCGCTGGCGGCCATGGCATCGGAGTGCACGGCGGAGGCGCTGGCCAAAGCCCTGCCCGTCAGAGTCGCATCAAGGCCCCAAGGTGCTGCTCCATTTGCAGGCAGCCGGGCCACAACAAGAACACATGTCCGATGGCGTCCAGTAGCATGAGCTCCCTCCAGTGCGCACCGCGTTCATCAATTGGGTCGTCGTCATCGCGCTGCCTCGATCCACTTGAGGCTCTCCGTTTGGCGGACGACGATCACGCGATGGCGTTTGGATCGATGGTGGGGCACGCTGGAGCGTCGATGGTGCCACCCAGCGGTTTCCGGCCCGGCATGTCGCCGGGTGCACCCCATGGCTATGGGCACGCCATGGGCCAAGCGCTCGGCGAGTCCAGGGCTGATGCTGCTGCTCTTCGCGGCGAACTTGCCGCCCTCAAACACGAGCACGCTGAGCAAATCCTTGAGCTGCTGCGCTTCAAAGACTCTCTCGACCGTAATCTCGGCCAGCAGGGAATAGACTCTGTCGACCCTGCTCTCAACCTCCGTATGGAAGGGAGATTCGAGAGCAGGGAGGACTTTGCCAAACGCCTCAAGGGAGCGGGCTTGCTCGAGCTCAACCCGAGCGCCAAACACGAGGGCCAACATGTCTACCACATCATCTCGGCCAGCAACGGCGGCCCCGACCACACCGACAACTACTTGTTTGCGCTTGGCGGCTCCTTCAACATCACTGTTGGGGACCGCTTCGACCACCTCAACTGCTTCCTCGCCGGCAAATCAAAGGCAAGGAAGGCAGTGGCCATCGCGTTGAAGGTTGCGGACGACCCTAGCCTGCACCACCACATCGATCGGCGCGGCCGGCCACGCGCCACCACCTTCCGCGAGGGTCCCCACAACAGGGTATCATCGGGCGACGAGCTGTACAAGAGGGGCCAGGACTTGTTCCGTGACATGCGCAAGGACACGCGCGCCGCCCGATGATTGTTCCACGCCTGTCCTCAATGGTGTGAGGGCTCGAGGCATCGGGCGCACTCCGTGTGACGGGTCGTCGCGATACGCGGGCACGCGCGGTCGGGAGACGGTGACGGACGCCGGACGGGGGACACGCCCGGGCCGCCGGGGGAGCCGCAACCGCGGGGGACTATCACAGGCTTCACCGCGGGGTGTAGGTGTGCGCTGCGGCTTAAAAAAAGGATTCCCCTACTTATGTTCTTTCCGGTCTTAGCTCCGTCACCGTTCACTCGACCACTCGCTCGCGGACTCCGTCTACTCGCCTACTCGCTATCTCCTACGAGACACTACTCGCCTACTCGCTATCTCCTACGAGACACTACTCTGCCGCGCCTTTGTGGCATTTCGCGACCTCGTTGCCTCACTGAAGCGTCAAACCTAACGAACGCCTGGGCCGCCTCGGGGCGCGCGCCCTCCTGCTGCGGAGGGCTGCGGCTAGCGCGCGCCCGAGCGCGGCGGAGGGGGAGGAGCGCCCCCTAGTACTCCTCCTCCTCGCCGTCGCCCTCGGCCGAGTCGGCGCCGACCTCCTCGTAGTCCTTCTCGAGGGCGGCCATGTCCTCGCGCGCCTCGGAGAACTCGCCCTCCTCCATGCCCTCGCCGACGTACCAGTGCACGAAGGCGCGCTTGGCGTACATGAGGTCGAACTTGTGGTCGATGCGCGAGTAGAGCTCGGCGATGCAGGTGGTGTTGGACATCATCGTGACGGCGCGCATCACCTTGGCGAGGTCGCCGCCCGGCACGACCGTGGGCGGCTGGTAGTTGACTGCGCGGGGAGGGAGGGGGGGGGGGGGGGAGGGGGGGAGGCCGCGTGTGAAAACGGCTCCCGCTGTGGAGGGGAGGGGTAGACGGCTCGGCGGGGCGGGTGATGCGCGCGCTGGGTCGGGGGCGGGGGGGCGGCAACTCACTGCCGCACTTGAAGCCGGTGGGGCACCAGTCGACGAACTGGATGGTGCGCTTCGTCTTGATGGTGGCGACCTGCTCACGGCGTGAGGTGTGAAGAGACGCCGTTCACAGCCGCGGCCGGGCGGCGCGTTGCGAGCCACCGCCGCGTTGACGTCCTTTGGCACCACGTCGCCGCGGTACATGAGGCAGCACGCCATGTACTTACCGTGGCGCGGGTCGACCTGGATGGAGGGTGGGGGGGGGGGGGGGGGGGTCGGTCGGTCGGTCGGTCGGGAGAGCGACGGGGCAGCGGGAGAGCGCGTGGCGGCAGGTGGCTGTTGGAGGGGCGAGGGCGGGCGGGGGGCGGGCTCCGCCTTGCAGAGCATCGATGCGGGCTCGAAGACGGCGTTGGTGATCTCGCCGACGGAGAGCTGCTCGTGGTACGCCTTCTCGGCCGAGATGATGGGCGCGAACGAGGCGACCGCCAGGTGGATGCGCGGGTACGGCACCAGGTTCGTCTGGAACTCGGTCAGGTCGACGTTGAGCGCGCCGTCGAAGCGGAGCGAGGCGGTCATCGACGAGATGATCTGGGCGGTGAGCCGGTTGAGGTTGGTGTACCTGCGGGGGAGAAACGGCGAGACATGGGGGAGATGTGGCGAGGCAGGGCGAGGCAGGGCGAGGCAGGGCGAGGTATGGCGAGATATGGCGAGAGGGCGAGGCATGGCGAGGCATATGGCGAGGCATATGGCGAGGCGTACGTCGGCCGCTCGATGTCGAGGTTGCGGCGGCAGATGTCGTACAGCGCCTCGTTGTCGACCATGAAGGTGACGTCCGTGTGCTCGAGCAGCGTGTGCGTCGAGAGGACGCAGTTGTACGGCTCGACAACGGCTGTTGAGACCTGCGGCGCCGGGTAGATGGTGAAGGAGACCTTGGACTTGCGGCCTGCGATGCGGCACGCGGGGCACGGGGGGCGGGTGAGCAATGATCGCGGCTCGTGAGATGCGGCCGGCGGTCAACGGGGGGGAGCGCGCGGCGGAGGGGCGGCGGGCGCATAGGGCGCACCGTAGTCGACCGAGAGGCGCTCGAGGAGGAGGGCGCCCAGGCCGGAGCCGGTGCCTCCGCCGATTGCGTTGAAGGCGAAGAAGCCCTGCAGGCCGGTGCAGTTGTCGGCGAGCTTGCGGATGCGGTCGAGGACCAGGTCGACGATCTCCTTGCCGACGGTGTCTGCAGCGGGAGGGATCGGCAGGCGCGGTAGCGGTAGCGGGAGGGTCGGGGTGCCGGTGTGTGTGTGTGTGTGTGTGTGTGTGTGTGTGTGTGTGGTGGTGGTGCTGGGGGGGGGGGGGGCGGAGGCTCACAGTGGCCACGCGCGTAGTTGTTCGCCGCGTCCTCCTTGCCCGAGATGAGCTGCTCGGGGTGGTAGAGCTGGCGGTACGTGCCCGTGCGGACCTCGTCTGTTGGGGGAGAGGAGGCGGAGCGGCTTCAGCTCAAGCCGCGCGATGGCAGGGGCGCGCGCATTGCAGCAGGGGCGCATCGGAGGGCGACGCGGGGAGCGGTGCGCGTGCGGGGGAGGGGCGGGACGCGCCGACGACGGTCGGCTCGAGGTCGATGAAGACGGTGCGCGGGACGTGCTTGCCCGAGCCCGTCTCGGAGAAGAAGGTGTTGAACGCGTCATCGCCGCCGCCGATCGTCTTGTCGGACGGCATCTGGCCATCGGGCTGGATGCCGTGCTCGAGGCAGAAGAGCTCCCAGCACGCGTTGCCGGTCTGGATGCCGGCCTGGCCGAGGTGGAGGGTGATGCACTCGCGCTGCGGACACGGGGAGCGTCAGTCGGCAGCGGTCGGAGCGCGTGCGGTCGGGCGTGCGGTCGGGGCGCGTGCGGCGTGTGGGGATCTGGCGCGGCGCGGTGCGCGGTGAGTGTTGCGGGGAGGGGCGGAGCGCGGTTTGGGGCGCCGGGGCGCGCGTGGGGGCGCGCGGTGGGAGTCAAACCCACCATGTGCCGTTGGGCTTTGCCGCTTCAAAATGGGAATGAAATTCTTTCCCGTGGTGTGCCGGTGATAGTACTAGCACGCGCCAGTTCGCACCTGTGTCGAGCCTGTCTGCTGTGAGAGAGAGTTGTTTTCCT